AGGTGGCCAGTCTCTCTCATCGATGTTTCTGTCTTTCCCTCTCCCTTCCTCTCTCTCTCTCTCTCTCTCAAGTCAGTAAAGAAAAAAAAATGTTTAATTTATTGAGTCGATTTGTGGCTTAACAGATAGTCTATGTTGGAAAATGTTCCCTGTGCACTTGAAAAGAATGTATATTCTGTTGCTTTTGAGTGAAGTGTTCTACAAATATTAATTAAATCCATCTGGTCTAATGTGTGTCATTTAAAGGCACTATTCCCTTGTTGATTTTCTGTGTGGATGATCTGTCCATTGATGTTAATGGGATGTCACAGTCCCCTATTGATTGTATTACTGTTGATCTCTCCCATGATCTCTGTCAGTATTTGCTTTACATATTTAGGTGCTCCTATATTGGGTGCATAAATGTTTATGAGAGTTATGTCCTTTTGTTGGATCGATCTCTTTATCATTATAAAATGCCCATTGTCTCGTCAAAGCCTTTGTTTTAAAATCTATTTTTGTCTGATGTAAGTATTGCTACTCCACCTGTTTTTCTGCTTTTATTTGCATGAAATATTTTTTTCCATCTTTTTCATTCCATGTGTGTCTTTCGATCTGAAGTGAGTCTCTTGTAGGAAGTATATGTACAGGTTTTGTTGTTCTCATTCAGCCACATTCTGACTTTTTTTTTTTTTTTGACAAAGAACAACAAACACCTTTATTACATGAGCTAAGATAGCAGGGAGGAAGATTTATTTGCCTTTCTGGGCTGATTTCCCTTGGGTGGAACTCCAGCTCCTTGCCCGTGAGCGCATGGCCGTCTGTGTGGCCGTGTTGGCCTGGTCTTGAAGCGGGGCATGGAAGAAGCTTGCCTGCTGGAGCTGCTCCCCTAGAAGACGGCTGATTTGGGCATTCTTTTTCTTTTCATCATTTTGCTTCTGAATTTTTTTTTTATTGGTTTTGTTTACAATCGTTTGCTCCTCAGGAGTCAGCTGTGTCCCCTTCTAGCGGCCCAGGGACAGTGCACTGAGGGACTTGTACCACTGTCGGTAGGGTGTGCCATCCATGAGCACCGTGCGGTTCTTTCCTGGGGTCGTGATGCAGACCAGCTTGTCGTTGGATGCACTGTAGATGGCATCAGCAATCCCTGTTTTGTGCGTACTACACTCCAAGCCCAGGAGAAGTTGCCCACGTCCAGCCTCAAGGCACAGTGCTTCTGGTCGTCCCCGCACGTGGACTGTGCGTGAGCAGTGCGGGTCAGTCCCAGTTTGGCAGCAGTTCTCTTCTTTTATGTTTTCGTTGTGTGTATCCCTTAATTTATTGTTGTAATTACACATTATCTTTCTACTTTCGTCTTTTAACCTTTGTACTAGCTTTATATAGTTGGTCCACTGCTTTTATCAAGTGTTTGCCTTTTTCAGTGAGAATCTTTTTTTTCCTATATTTTCTTACTCATATTTTTTGTGATATCTTCTTCTCCTCTTTTTTAAAAATCCTCCCCCCAAAATATTTTTCCAGTTGATTTTTAGATAGAGTGGAAGGAGGGAAGGAGCGGGGGGAGAGAGAAACATTGATGTGTGAGAGAGAAAGAAACATCCATGTGAGAGAGACACATTGATTGGTTGCCTCCCTCATGCGCCCCACCAGGGCTGGGGATCAAACCTGCAACCTTTTGGTCCATGGGCCAACGCTTTAACTGCTGAGCCAAACCAGCCAGGGCAACCTATCCTCTTAAAATTTTTTTTCTCTTCAGTGTTTTTTTTTCCATTTATTTTTGTTACAGATGTTTCTCCTATTTTCTCCATTGACACCCTCTTCCCCATCCCCCCCACCCATCTTTTTAGTGTTTTGATTGTATGTTTTTTACTACCTTTTCTTCCAGATAGCTGATTTGATTCTCTCCTTCATCTCATCTGCTGTTGATTCCATCTAATGTAGTCTTCATTTCAGTTATTGTATTAATTATTCATTTCTGACTTTTTTTTTTTGTCAATCCTCACCCGAGGATATTTTTCTATTTATCTTCAGGTAGAGAGAAAGGGATAGAAAGGGAGGGAGAGAAACATTGTCGTGAGAGGGACACATTAACTGGTTGCCTCCCACATGAACCTGACCAGGGCCATGGACGAACTGCAACCGAGATATGTGCCCTTGGCTGGAATTGAACCTGGGACTCATTGGTCCACACACTGACACTCTACCACTGAGCCAGGGCCTGACTGGTTCTTTTTATTGTTTTCTGTCTCTTTGTTGAAGTTCTCTTGAGTTTTTCTGTTTTGTCCTCTAAGTTCATTGAGCATCCTTATAGGCAGTGTTTTGAACTCTACATCTGGTAGATTGCTTGCCTCCACTTAATATAGTTATTTTTCTGGAGTTTTGTACTATCTTTCATTTTGAACATGTTTGTCTTCTCATTTTGGCTGCTTCCCTGTGTTTGTTTCTGTGTATTAGTTAGGGCTGCTGTGTCTCCTGGGATTGGAAGAGTGACCTTATAGTAGGTGTGCTGTGGGGGGCCCCGTGGGGCAATCTTCCTTTCACCTGAGTCTGTTTGCTCCATGGGTGTCCCATGAGTGGGTTGTGTGTGCCCTTATGTTGTAGTTGAGCCTTGATTGCTATTGGCACATTAGTGGGTGGGGTTGACCATCAGGCTAACTGGCTGTGACTACAAAAGATGAGCTCTTGTGTGCAGGCTGACATCACAGAGCAGGAATTGCTTTAGCAGGGCTCTGGTGCCAGCAAATCTGCCCTTCGAGGGTGATGTTTGTGGGGCTCGATGGGCAGTGCTCTGGTGTGGACTGAAGCTGGCCACTGTGTGTGTTGGTTCTGGAGCCTCTTGGGAGGGACTTGGGGCTGCTTAGCTGAAGCTACATTCTAGCCAAGACTGGCTGCTGCATGTTCTAGGCTTGGAACCATCTGATAGGAATTGCAGTGCAAGTTGAGACCAGCCATTGCTTGAGCTGGGCTTGGGGCCACTTAGCAAGAGCTACCAGGCACACCGAGGTCAGACACTGCTTGTTTTGGGTTTGTGGACCTTTGAGAGATTTTGGGCAAGTCTGCAGCGTGAACCTGAAGCCACTTGTGTGGAAAAGCCATTGCAAGTCAGGGTGTATGAGTTGGGTGGGGCAGGTCTTAGGGAATCACGTGGGTGGTGTGAACGGTGTCAGTCTTGTCTGGTTAATAGCACAGATTTGGCACCTGTCTGAGCCTCCTGGCTGAAGGAGAGGAGCACTCAACAAAGGAACAATGGAGCTGGCCAGCACTTTCGTCCTGGAGAGAGCTGTCCTGACTCTGGCCCTTCAGCCTGTTCTCTGAAGTTACTCAATTTAGTCTCGTGTACCTGGTGCTTTTTGAGCTGCTCCCCCTGCACTGGGGCCCAGATCGAGTAAGTTTGTGTGCAGGTAAGTCTGTGCATGCCCCCCCCTCCGTGCTTTAAGAGGAGCGCCTAAGTTTCCAGCAGCCCTCCATCTTGCTTGGCCACAATCCTCACTGGTTTTCACAGCCAGATAGATGTTGTAGGGGGACACCTCTTCCTGGTACTGGTGCCCCTGGCTGGGGAGACCTGTGTGTGGCTGGGACTCATTCCTCAGGGGGACTTGCACAGCCAAGATATCCCTCCCAATTATTATTTTTTAAATATGTTTTTATTGATTTTTAGGGACAGAGGAATTGGGGTAGGGGGAGAGAAACTTCATTTTGAGAGAGAAACATTGATCGGTTACTTCCTGTATGCTCCCTGACCGGGAATCAATCCACAACTTTTTGGTGTACGAGAGACTGTGCTCCAATTAATTGAGCCACCCGGCCAGGGCTTTACTTTTTATTTAAAAATAAAACATTCTCACATATCTAGACCAAATAAGTTTGTAAGTGTTCCTCACTTAGACTGTCTCATTAGCACATTCTAGGGAATTGATAAGACCACATCTTTCTGTGCTCTTACCACTACTATGGATATGTTTTGTGAATAAACACAAAATGTGCTTGCTGGAGACAGTGAGACGTGGTCCATTGAAGCTGCTCGCAGGGACATTTGCAGGTCCAGTAAAATGTGGTCATGGGGGAGATGCAAGCAAAGTAAAAGGAGGAGTGTCTGCTTGGGGAATTGAGGGCAGCTATCTGGAGGGGAAAGTGCATATTTGAGCTGAGACTTGAAGGCATTTTCAGAAGAAAGGGCACCCTAGGCAGAAAGAATAGTATTCGCGAAGACACACAGGAGTGTGGGATGGTCAAGGATTTACATGCAGTTCAGAACTCAGAGAAAAAAATGTGAAGTGAACCAAGTGAGATCACATGGGCCTTGAAGGCCATACTTTTGTCTTTAAAAGTCTGTCTATACACAGGGGAGAGGCAGTAAGGACATAAAAGGTGGCAGGGTGGAATAAAGGATCATTCACAAGTCTGTCTTGTATGTTTGGGTTTCTCTGCCCCAGGGAATACTTAATGTAAACAGGAAGCCTTGGTCTGGTGGGACTCTTTAGATGCCCCAAATGGCTTGTGTGACTTCATAACTTCTGTGGGTCCTACTGTCTAAAGAAAAATCACTCATAGAGGATAGGACACAGTTCACAGTACCATTTTTATTTTCTGAGAAACACCAGGTGTGAGGCTGGGAGGGAGCTTGGAGAGAGGGCAGGGGATGACACTGCATCCATCTATGCGGTGGAGTGGATTCTTACAGAAACATTGCTATGGTTTTACTCCTGTTTCTATACTTAAAATCTCTTAAACCTGAAACTGCCCAGTTAAATGGTTCACAGAACACTGACTGGTTCAGTGCCTGCACAGTTCCACAAGAGCCAGTTGCAGGGTCTTCTGATGCCCAAATGAATTCCCGACATGGGCAAGATGCAGATATTTCCATTTTAACCAGGGACTTGAAGTCCTTGAAGTTTAGTCTGAGAGTGTAGAAGGCCTTTATGAAGTCTGGTATGGGCAACTATAAGATCCTAAGGAGTTCTGTGGGCGGCAAAGGTGTACAGAGAAACTAGGCTTATTTTGCAGAACTGGAGGAAGTGGTAACGTCAGAATGAAGAAATAGGGCTCATCTCCTGTTGGCCTGGTTGTGTTTTTCCCTGCTTGGAGCTCTTACAGTACTTGTATGACAGTAATGCCACACCACAGATGCCAAGAAGCACAAGAGAAAAGAGTGTGTACAAAGCTGTCTGGGCTTCTGTCGTACCCAGTGCCAGGCCCAGGAACTGAATGTCGTCTTCTCTCTTGGGACTGGTGGTGGGTCCAGCATCTAGGAGAGGACAGCAGAGGGCAGTGTACACACTAGCACAGATGTAGTTATCAACAGTGTTAACCTATATTAAGCCCAAGCTAGGTCCTTGGAATAGAGAAGTTAGAAATAGGTACCCAGAGCGAGCACCTTGCTGAGGTGCACATCCCTTTCACTGAGCTATGAGCCTCTGAATGGAGTTCAGTAGTTTTATTTTTAAACCCCTCTATCAGCAATTAGAATATAATCTAAATTGGATAACTGTCTCTTATATTTGTATAATAATTTATATTTTTTCAGTCATTCAACAAACACTGGCATCTTTACATTATGTCAGGCACTATATTTCATCATTGTATTTGATCCTCACATCAGCCCAGAATATTTGCCTAGTTTCCTGCCTAAAGTTGCACAGCCGGTTAGTGTTAGGGCTGGGACGAGACTCTAGACCTGCTATGCCCAGACCAGGGCCTAGTTTCTAGATGTACCATTAAACCTAAGTTAGTTGCTTTGTTCCATCCTAAGAACAGTAAAAGAAAATATTGGTTGAATGAATGAAGGGAACGGGGAGAGGCTGAGAGGAAGGTAATAAACTAGAAGAAATTAGACTGAAAAAGGTCCCTCTCACCCCTCACCCTCTGGCTTAAGTCTCTCCCAGAGCTCCATCTCACCTTCTGCTTGGAGACAAGGGTGTGGGCCTGCTTCTGGGTCAGGGAAGCCATTGCACCGGGTTATAGAGGCGTAGAGCTTGGCTGATGCTTTGGGAATCCTTGGCAGGGAAGGGTCAGTGTAGTTCACAAAATGGAGACCAAACCTCTCTGAGAAGCCTGTGGCCCACTCAAAGTTGTCCATCACACTCCAAACAGTGTATCCTCGAAGGTCCACTTTATCCTGCACAGCTGTCCAAACACAGGCCCTGGCATCAGCTTCCTGCATAAGCCATCCTCCTGCCAAGCCTGCTGAGGCCCTGCCTGCCCAGAGCTCTCCCCCAGTTCCCACTTGCATGTCAAGGTGAGCTTTGTTTGCGCTCTTTGAGAAAGCTGCCCATCCACTGCATGCAGTATTTGTTACAGGTCCTCTGTGGATGGAGCTGCAGAGCCATCAGCCCTGAATGGGGGTCAGGAACATGGGTAGACTAGTGTTCCTCTTTTCTTTTTTAAGGTTCTCTACTTTTTTTTTTTAATATGTTTTTGGCCCTGGCTGGTTTGGCTCAGTGGTTGGAGCGTCTGCACACAGATCAATAAGTCACAGGTTCGATTCCAGTCAAGGGTACTACCTCGGTTGCGGTTTGTCCCTGGCCCTGATCGGGGTTGTGTGGGAGGCAGCCAGTTGATGTGTCTCACATCCATGTTTCTCTCCCTCTCTCTCCCTCCCACTCTATCTGAAGATAAATAGAAAAATATCCTCAGGTGTGGATTAAAAAAAATAATGCTTTTGTTGATTTTTTTTTAGCAAGAGAGGAAGGGAGAGAAAAAACATCAATCAGCCACCTCCTGCATGTCCCTACTGGGGATCGAGCCTGCAACTCGAGCATGTGCCCTAACTGGGAATCAAACTGGACCTCTCAGTCCATGGGCCAACACTCAGTCCACTGAGCCACACTGGCTGGGCTAATGCTGCTCTTTATAGAAAATGAGTGGCCCTTGGGAAAGATCTTGGCTGGAACAGGATTTTCTAATGGGTTTGTTCTCACTGCTGCATTGCTCATTCTCTTCTGTCACCACGTCCTTGCCAGAGTCACATCCCAAGTTCTGCTGAGCTGAGGTCTTAAACTTTGCTTTGGAAACAAAGACCCTTCAGACAACCCCAAGCCCACTCCTCCTGGTCCTGCCCAAACTGTCCTCAGGAGAGCACTGTTGTTCAGCAGCATCAGACATCAGTGAGCATCAAGGAGAGCAAGGGATTACGGCCAGGAACTCAGGTCTAGCTGTATTAGGCAACTGGGTTTGCCTGCTGAGCTTAAATCTGGGAAGGAAAAATCTCAAAAGTTCAGCTAAACCCAACAGGAGTAAGAAGCCTCATCTTTGTCATTATGGGGTTCGTGGCTGCAGTCCCACCCAAATGTGGACGTTAGCAGATGTTTCCGCAGTGAAGGGTGCATGGAGGAAGGTGGGCCTGTCCTACCTTTGAGTGCCTCATTGATATAGCTGCGGAGGTAGTAGATCCTTGCGGTGTCATTGAGGTTTGTTTCTCCCCGTTGGGACACTCCGTTCTCTGTTACATAAATCGGAGGGTTGTTGTACTCTTCCTTTAACCAGTTCAGGATCCTCCTGAAGCCAAAAGGTGTCATCTTCAGCCAGGAGGAGCCGGAGTCTGGCCAAGAGCGATCTGTGATGGTGGCAACTCCCCTACCATTCCAAACACAAGATTAGGTCTGGTTTTGTAAATCCCTAGAGGTTCTTTGCACAAAAGACAAAACAGGATTTATACTAGGAAAAACCTTAGGCTTTGTCTAGTCTTGAGTCATAAGTAAACCCAGAACAGTCAAATTGCCTCACGTTCCCCTTCCATTAGTTCTAGTTGCACTACTAGTGCTGGTGTAACTGGACAGGCCACGTTGGCTGTCTGTCCTAGCCTTCCACGTGTACAGGGGAATGGTCTCGCTCACGGACCTGACCCTGCATGGGCTGTGCTGCACACCTCACACTAATGTGAGAGGGCTCTGGCTTTCCCTAGCCAGTCCCCAGTGGGGTGTGAGTGCTATGTCTTCAGAGAATGGGCTTCCCTGAGTCACCTACGTCTGGTCAGTGCCACAGGCACCAACCCTTTTGTTGATGATAGAGCAGTAGACTGGGACCTGCTTCAAGTGCCAAGACCCGCCTTTCTCTCCAGTGATAGACTAGAGAGGGCACCAGGTTGCGCCAAAGGAGCGCCCGCCAGGCGTCATACATTTCAAATGAAGACAGTGATTTAGATACGTCTTTCACCCAAATTCTTTTTAAAATGTTAGGTTTTACCAGTAACTCAATCTTGTTCTGCTGAACTGAATGTGGGGCTTTTCATAAGCCTGAGTGCAGGTCACTGGGGAGGCAGTCCCAGGAGCCAGTGAGGCAGCAAGAGTTGAGTGAGTGCCTGAATGGGGTCTCTCAGCCCCTCACCGGCCTGACTGGTAGTTTCAGGATGCAGTTGGGGTGCAGGCATGTTTTCAAAGAAAACCTTGACAAGTTCACACACTGAGCTGGAAAGATGCTTGATAGAAAAGGAACAAAATAACCCTGGCCAGGTAGCTCAGTTGGTTGGAGCGTTGTCCCCATATGCCAAGGTTGTGGGTTTGATCCCCAGTCAGGGCACATACAAGAAGCAACCAATGAATGCATACATAAGTGGAACAAAAATCAATGTTTCTCTCTCCCCACCCCCTACCCCTCCCTTTCTAAATTCAATAAAAAAAAAAGAACTTAGGTTCAGCCAATGTGGCTCAGTGGTTGAGCATCGGCCCATGGACCCAAGAGGTCACCGTTCGATTCCCAGATGCCTGGGTTTTGGGCTCAATCCCCAGTGGGGGTCATGCAGGAGGCAGCCAGTCGATGTGTCTCTCTCATCAATGTTTCTATCTCCCTCTAAAAATCAATAATAAGAAATATTTTTTAAGCCCTGGCCAGTTTGGCTCAGCAGTTAGAGCGTCAGCCCACAGACCAGAGAGTCCTGGGTTCGGTTCTCACTAAGGGCACGTACCTCGGTTGCGGTTTGTCCCCGACCCTGGCTAGGGTCATGTGGGTAGTGGAGAAAAAAAAGAAAAAAAATATATATATATATATATATTTATATTTATATATATTTATATAAAATAAACTTAGAACAGGAACAAATTGTGTGTGTGTGTGTGTGTGTGTGTGTGTGTGTATATATATATATATATATATATATAAAATCTTGTTTATTTTTAATCCTTACCTGAGGAAATTTTTCTATTTATCTTCAGATAGAGTGAGAGGGAGAGAGAGAAACATCGACATGAGAGGGACACGTCAACTAGCTGCCTCCCGCAGAACCCTGACCAGGGCCAGGGCCGAACCACAACTGAGGTACGTGCCCTTGATTGGAATCGAACCCAAGACTCAGTCTGTGGGCTGACATTCTAACCACTGAGCCAAACTGGCCAGGGTTAATATTATTTTTTTGTAAGGAATAATATATGTATAAATATATACTATATAAACTATGTATAATAATATATATACTCCTGAAATTACACAAGAGTTTCCTATTCTTTGTTTCCACTGTGAACACATATTTGCATAATACAAAAATAGCTTGACCTTTATGCTGAAAAGGAAAAAAAAACTTATTGTTATTTTAACTAAAATATAGCTGATAAAACAAATTTTACAAAAAAAAAAAAAAGAATAGGGGAGAAAAAGATTCTTCTCAAATGTTATTTTAAAACTCCAGGCACGTCTATGTCAATGGGAAGAGTCTTGGAAATCCCAGCCGTATGGGATTGATGGGGTTTGATTAGGTGTCTTAGGAGACAGGGCTCATCTCAGAAACCTCAGGATGGATGGCATCAGGAGGCAGCTCTCGGAGTAAGAGATGGGCAAAGGGTGACTCACTGTCTTTTCCAAAGGTGGTTCTAGGCGGCCCTGCTGACCGTCTTACCTGTCTGCGTCAAAGGAAGAGTTCCTGGAGTCATAGTCGAGATTGTAGGCCAGGACAGTGGTGTAGTGATTGAACCCAAAGAAGTCGTAAGTGCCATTGATCCTCCTCTTCTCCCTCTCCGTGAACTCCGGGAGCCTGGGCGGAAGGAGCCATTAAGGGTGTGGGGCTTCAGGAACAGTCCTGCTTTGGGAGAATGTCCTGGGGCAGGGCTGGACGTGACAGGGTGGTGACTAGGGTGCAGCTGGCCAGGAGCAAGGAGAGGCCTTCCACGCGCTGCTGGAGTGCCGAGGCTCCTCCTACCAGTCTGTAAGCTCACTGCCCCTGTTGCTGCAGGGCCTCTCGTCCTGCTGACTGAGTTAAACCACATGCTTTTCTATGAACCCCCTTCAGGGACACACACACAGATACACAGACTAATTTTTTTTTCCTTCAAAAAATTAACATGTAAGTGCTGATATTTACCATTTATGGTAGATTTTTGAAATCAAGACCATGTTTGAGGTACATACCTTAAGACTAATCCTTAAGGTTATCTTTTATAATTTGTATTTCCATAATCTGCCCTTTATGAGTTATTCTGGTTTTGTTGTGGTTTGTTTAGGCTTGCCTCTTTTCTCCAAAGCCTATCCTTATTAGTGGGGAAATATTTTTATAAATTAAATTTATTGAACTTTTTGAGATTTGAACCTTCTGCTCACACGACTTCACTATGCTCTTGTAGAATAAGCATGTGCTGGAGTGTTTCCCATGTTTTCTGAGACTTTCCTATTCGACTGATTAACACGCACGTGCAGTTCCTCTCAGCCCCGTCTGACTACGTGCCTCTGACGGACACGGTGCTGCTGGCTCAGGGCTGCCCAGGGACTGCCCTCATTAGGCGTCTGACACCTTCATCTTGACCTTCCTGCTACCATTAACTTGGGGAGCCAAACCCTCCCTGAGCTTTCCGAGACTGCTGGGAGAACACTGAAGCCCAGTCCTGTTCCATCCCCTGCTCAGGAGCCGTGGCATCAAAGCTGAGCCCCTTACCTGTGGCCTCGGCCCCTGCACTGTTGCCAGGCCAGTTCCCCTGCGTCAGCTGCACATGCCCCACTCATACCTACTGCCAGGCTGGTACTCAACGCCCTTCTTCTTGGATGACTGCCCCCTCTTCTCCCAAATGCTTTTCATTGTCAAGGCCCAGCTCAACATGTCTTCCTTGTCATGAAGTCCCCTGGGTCTACCCAGCCCAACCTGATCTCATCTTCTGAGCTTTCTTTGAATGAAGAAATCGGGGAATAGAATTCCTGGAGTGATGAGTTACTGACTTCCCAGCTGGTGTGTCAGCAACTTGAGGAGCTGGACTTGGAAGCTCTTCTCTACGTGGACTCTGCCGGGCCAGGCGGCCCTGGTCCGACCGGCACTCCACGAGGCTGTCGATGGACTGGAATGCTGGTTGCTTGCTGGAGGCCAGACTGGCTGACTAGACCTTTAGGCACAGCCTGCTTAGCAGGATTGCCCTAACCGGGCCAGGATGTGTGTTGTTAGGGTGGGGCCTGGACTACTTAATCCTTACAGCTGGGCTGTATGGGGTAGTTTGTGAAAAAGGCCTTCTGGGCTGTGGTACATGTGCTACCTTGGAGCTTGTGGATCTGCTTCCATAAGGGCAGTCATTCCGTCCTCATCCACATCTACCTCTAATCCCGCTGGGTGACTCCAACCCAGTGTGGGCCCTGGAATCAGACAGCCTGGTTTCACACCTCAGCTCTAGCATGTAACAGCTGGATGGCCTTGCTCTAATACTTATGCCTCATCTTTAAATAAGAATAGAACTACCAATAGAAGATGGACACATGTTAGTTGTTGTTACTATTACTTCCTTGACAGGAAGTAGGACTGCTTTGTGCACACAGTTGCCACCTACTGGGCAAATGACAAAACACATGCGGGCCATCACCCACTGCTATCCACATTCACTCATAAGGCGATGGAACGGGATAGGATGAGCTAGGGAATTTGTCCTTGGAGGGCGGAGTGGGTTGATAAGAAGTGGGTGCCCTTGAAGATAGATTTCCTGGCTGTTTTGAAGGATAATAATAGCAACTGCCTTTCGTCAAGCATGTAGCAGGGCCAGGGCCTGGGCTAAGAGCTTCACATACACTCCCGTTTAATCTTCCCAGCAAGCAAGGAAGCTCAGAGGTACAGCAACCTGCCTCCGACGCACCTCTCTGACCCCAACCGCCACGCTCTCCCCACTGTGCGGTCCGCCCGGGGGCCTCAGGTCGGCCCCACAGGCCAGACTCCCTGCTGACCGCTCCTCGCTGAGTGGACACCGGGACCTACCGAGACTTGCTGAGCCCTGCAGCCAAGCTTCTGTCACGAATCCGAGTCTTCATCACTGCGTTGTAATCCCCATTCTTGAAAATAGGATGTGCAAACCAGCCTCCCATGAACTGCAGGTGGGGTTGGGGGACAGCCTCAGCATTAACAGGCAGACACACCTGCAGACTTCTCGACTCAGAACTCACTGACCTCGGACCACCCCACCCCATCCCTCACATCTTCCCAAATCCCTTATTTTTTTGGTATTTGGTAGTTGCCATTTTATTTTTAAAAAATAGTTTATATACAATATTATAATAGTTTCAGGTGTACAACCCCATGATTAGACATTTATATAACTTATGAAGTGATCCCCTCGATAAAACTAATGCCCATCTGACACCATGCATAGTTGTTACAATATTATTGGCTGTATTCCCAGTGCTGCACTTTACATCCTCGTGACTATTCTGCAAAAACCAATTTGTACTTCTTAATCCCTTCACTTTTTTCACCCATTCCCCCAACCCCCCTCCCATCTGGCAACCATCAAAATGTTCTCTGTATCTATGAGTCCTTTTCTGCTTGTTTGTTCCAAATCCCATTCAAACTCTCGTCTCTGTGGCTGTTTGCATGTCGCAGCTCAAGTGCCCAAAGGTCTTTTCGCCTCATCTGGATTGCTTAGCTGCCACGCCCCAGGACAGCCTGGGGGAGGGGCACTGAACTGAGCTGTCCTTGGAAGGGTCCCGCGGAAGACGGGACTAGACTGCATGCCTCCAGGCTGCAGTTCCCTCTCTCACTGCAGAGCCCGTCCTTCCCCATCATCATGCCTAAGGGTCACTCAGAACTTGCCGAGGGCCGAGCTGCAAGGCTGTCCCAGCGCCCGGCTGAGGACAGTGTCTCATGGGCACTTGATGCACAGTCCTAAAGTGGGGGCTTTCTGTTCTCTTGAATGAGGCCTACATGCTGGGGTCCTGAGAGGCTTCTTCTGTCTCTTCACATCCTTCCCTCACCTCTAGCTGATGCCCGAATTGTGGGGTGAGGACAGCCTTCCATTCTCAGAGGTGACGCTTAGCAACCGTAATTGCACACACACTGGTAAAAGAGGCTTCCCCTGTTCTGAGGTAACATACCTGGGCTGCAGTCTCGCCGTTCACCAGCAGGTGTCTCAAGCTAATGAGGCTGCAGCCTCACATTTCCTGAGATTTGGGGTTTGGATTTCAGAAAACAAAGTATTGCTCTAACTCTATATATTCAGTGAGTCTGAAATGAGGGACGCATTAATTTTGTTCTAAGACTTTTTCCCTGGCTGGCTAGCAAGCAGGAAAATTAAGCTTTTATTTTCATTTATTTATTTTTTTAGAATATACTTTGATTTTTTAGATTGAGAGAAAAGGAGAAGGGGGGAGAGAGAAACATTAATGACAGAGAAACATCGGTTGGCTGCTTCCTGCACACCCCACACTAGGAAGTGAACCGGGCCTCAGTCCTCGGGAGGACACTCAATCCACTGAGCCACACCAGCCGGGCCTTATTTCCATTTATTAATTTGTCTGCCTTTGTTAAGTTTTCTTGTGAAGAGTTTGGCCAACCAAGGCCCTTGGTGTCCCCTCTGAGCTGCAGGCTCCTCCACAGAGCCCAAACAGTGTGGAGAGACTTGCTTTCTCTCCTCAGGACGAAACATAGGAGAGGGCGCCTTCTAACCCCTTCAGACATTAACAGGAGCCAGAGAAAAACTGCCAGGCGGGCCATTCTTCTCTCCTCAGGGCCCAGACGCTAGTGTCTCCCCTTACTACAAGCAAAATTCCATGACCCAAAGATGCATATCCTTATGTTAAACTCATGGAGTTGGGGCACTAATGAGTTTCACAGAGCCCAAAGTTCCCAATTTAAGGAATTCTTAGGTCAAGGAAATAAAATTAGGTGGTGACAACTAGAGGTTGTGTGTGACACTGCAGCCCAGCTCTGTTAACAACTGTAGTCAAACCAGACATTGGAGAGAGAGAACTTCCTTCTGTTTGTTAGCTTCAGGCCAGTGTTACTCCCAGCAAGAACTACACGTACACATAATTTTTAAAGATAACCTTAAAGAACTTTCATCACAGCCAACCTATAAGGTAGGTATGTCATCTCCACTTCACAGATGAGAAAACGAAGGTCCAAAAAGGTTAGGTGATATTACGAAGTTCACAAAATCAGATAATAGCAACACAGAGCCTAGATCTTAAATCTTTGTCTTGCTGTCTAATTCTATTTCCATTAGACCATGACAGGAGGGGAAACGGGGAAGAATGAGAACAATGCCCAGAGGGAAACAGACCTGAACGTATCTCCTGGCGGCCTCCACGTCCTCCTGGTTGGAGGGGTCTCTGGGCTCAGCCCAGTCGCTGTTGATGGTGATGGAGATCGTGCCACGTTGACTGGCGCGGTACATGTCATTGTACAGGTGCCAGGCCTCGGCATGAGCCTTTATTAGGTTGTGGCCAGCAGTGTAGGGGGCAGTGCCAGGCCGGGAGGAGATGCCTGCAAACATACCCATGGGCGTCGTGAGGAATGCGTGTCTGAGGGTCACTCTCTGCCTACAGGTGTCCACTGTTTATGGGCAAGAATGCACATTTCGGTGTTAGGGAGAATGGAATTTAAACCCTGGCTCCAGCCCTGGCTGGTTTGGCTCAGCGGTTGGAGCAAGGAGTTTTGGGTTCGATTCCAGTCAAGGGCATGTACCTCAGTTGTGGTTTGGTCCCCGGCCCTGGTCTGGGTCGTGCGGGAGGCAACCAGTTGATGTGTCTTTCTAGCACCTGTTTCTCTCTCCCACTCCTTCCCTCCTACTCTGGCTGAGGATAAATGCAAAAATATCCTCGGGTGAGGATTAAAAAAAAAGAAATTTAAACCCTAGCTTCACTTCTTGCTAGTGGGCCACATGACTTTGGGCAAGTATTTCAACCTTCCTGTTCTTTCCCCGGCATAATGAGCAAGTGGAGTTGTTGGGAGAAGGAAAGGAAATCGTGTGTGGAGCACCCAGCAGCACCCAGACAGGCATTTGATGAATGTTAGTTTCCACACCCCTCCCTCAAAGGGAGGCTCATATGCCTCAGCAAAGTACCCAGAAGAGTCGCCTCAGGAGATGACATCCTGGCCCTCTTTGGGGAGCCCACTGTGGAAGTCCAAGTCGGAGAATACGGCTGGTGGAATCAGCTGACAGAGTCCTTGAGAGCCCGTGCTACGAGGCCACCTCCGTGGGGAAGGACTGGCACACCGCAGCACCCCTCGGGCCATTGGGGTGCATCTGGTCATGACTCCAAGAGCTCCTGTGACTCTTTCCAGCTTTTACATGGATGACAAGGAATCACATACGTGATCAAAAATTTACTCTTAAGCTCAGAACTAGAGAAAAGGAGAACTGGATGGTCCTGGAGGAGCAAGGACAAGTCCACAATCCCTTAGTCAAAGCCTTTATGGTCAAATGTGTTTTGGAACAAAAACGTTTTTGTGTCTTAGGAAAGTAACACATTCATATGACATATTTACGTATCACCCCAACAGGGCCCAGAACAGCTCTGCATGGTCAAGGACACCCACAGGTCTGCAGCAGAACGTAAGTGGACAAAGACCACGAGCAGCCTCGTGCTGGCTCGAGTCAGGTCGAGCGCAGGTCAGCCAAACCAGTTACCAAAACTTTGGGATTTGGGAGATGCAGAAAACGGACCGTGGACCTGTATAGCCTGATGAACAGCCCTTTCCTGCACCAAGTACTCCACATTCCTGACTGTCCACCTGGGCAAGTCGGTCTCAGAGCAAAGAAATGAAGCCATTGGGAGGCACTAACGTGAAATTCATGTTTAACAAAAGTGTCGTCAGAGGGGAACTGCTGCCCATCAGGCAGCCCGGAGCAAAGGCAGGTGCTGTCCTGGGCGCTCCTAGCCTCCTCCCCTGGTGCTACCTGATTTCCCGTCTTCTAGGTGCTAAGAATGCCACAGCCCAAGAGCCGCCGGTGGGCGTGGGCCCTCACCTGGAGCGGCTGTCCCGTAGCCATAGCCCTGGAGAGCAACGACAAAGGGCTCGTTCAGCGTGATCCAAAACTTCACCTTGTCCCCCAGCCTCTGGAAGAGCACATTGGCGTAGTCTCTGAAGCGCTGTACAATGGTCTCATTCTCCCAGCCTCCGACATCCTGCAGGGCCTGGGGCAGGTCCCAGTGGTAAATGGTCACCTGTGAGAAAGCAAGACCAGCAATCCCATCAACCCGCTTTTCATAAGAAGCCAGTGGTCTGCTAAGGCTGAGACTGAGTGACCAAAGGGCTCAAAGGTTCCCTGGTGGCCGGAAGGCAGCGGTGCTGGAGTGGGAGGTATTCACACATCTGTATCAAAGAAGCCTGGGTGTGAGTCCCAGCCGTGCAACCCCATTCTGGGCTCAGACACCAAGACCTCTACTTCGCGGAGTGGCTGTGAGCCCTGAAGCATAAGGCACGCCCCGACTCTTCCGTGTGAGCTCTGGTTGTGCTCGGATCTGAACCCGCCTGGACAGACTGCCGAGTTGAGACCCTGAGGCTCTCAGGAGGATGGAGCATTTTACTGTTAAGGGCACCCCGTGGGGCGGGCGGGGAACCCTTGGCCAGGGAGGAGCAGCTCTGGCCATGTTGGGGTGGTGGGCTTTCTCCTGGCTCTCCCCTCGACGCCTCTGACACACTTCCTCGTGGCCACGCCGTGGTCTCTACTGGACCACTGTCCAGCTTCAGCCCAGGCCCAGCTCTCTCCCTCTGCTGGGACAGCCCTCGCTTGAACGCCCACCCGTCCCAGTGCTTCTCTTATTTGAGACCCCACCTCCCTGAGGCTCCCCGGCCACCCGCTACTGCTCTCTGGGGTGTCACGGTGCCCTCGGGGGCACAGACTCATGAGGCTCTGAGCTGTGTGCTCTCTGATCTTGTCCTGAGTTGTACATGATGAATCTCATTCTCCACCCAGCTCTGGCCAGTTTGGCTCAGCAGCTGGAGCATCAGCCTGTGAACCAGAGAGTCCTGGGTTCGGTTCCCGCTAGGGGCATGTACCAAAAAAACAAAAACAAAAAACTTTGCCCTGACCAGTTTGGCTCAGCGGTTAGAGCGTCGGCCTGCGGTCCGGAGAGACCTGGGTTCGGTTCCCGCTAAGGGCACGTACCTCGGTTGCAGTTTGTCCCCGGCCTTGGTTGGGTCATGTGGGTGGCAGCCACTCGATGTGTCCCTTTCACATCGATGTTTCTCTCTCTCTCTCCCCCTCCTTCCCACTCTATCTGAACAAAAAATGGAAAAATGTCCTCGGGGGAGGAAAAAAAAAAAAGCAAATAGCTTACCATTATGAACAAAGAGGGAAAAGGACACACACACACACAGACACATCTCCTGGCTTCCACACCTGGACAGGAGACCCCAGCAGACCTGGGCCCGCAGAAAGGGGGGCTGGACGACTGGGGTCGGATGGAGGGAAATCTGCACTGCAGACTCCTTGATACTCTTTGACCTCTTCTCCATGTGCGTTTGTTAACAGTTCAAACATTAAATTTGAAGACAGTTTTGTTTCCATGATCAAGGTGCCCCTGGCCCAGCTGGCTCCCCGCGTGGACAGGCCCCGGGCCCCCCTCACCTGGGGCTTGATGTTGGCAGCCAGCAGCGCGTCAATGAGCTGCGAGTAGTAGCGCAGGCCCGCTTCATTGATGTGCCTGGTGGTTCCGTCCGGGAGGACGCGAGGCCAAGAGATGGAGAAGCGATAGTGGGACACACCCAGGTTCCGCAGGGCGGCCACGTCCTCAGCAGTTTTGTGGTAACTGTCACAGGTCACGTCTCCGATGTCATTATTCTCCACCTTCAGTGGTGTGTGAGAAAACGTGTCCCAAATACTGAGTCCTTTGCCATCTGCTCTCCACGCACCTTCGATCTTAAGAGGACAAGACACGGTGTAATTAAGTCCCATCCTCACACGTTCCTTTCTGTCAGCAAGACAGTCCCGAGTGAGGAGGCAGGTCAGCAGCACCTCCTCTGGGAGCCTTTGAGGGCCTCCCTCCGGCTTCCACACTCCTACCGCGTCCTGTGCGGAGTTTCTGTGCACCACGACCCTGTCACCCCGCACCCCCGCCGCACGGTCGCGGCGCTGTGTCTTCCACCATCCCGTCCCAGCAGTGTCTGCTGCGTGGAGGGTGCTCACTAAAAGTTTGAACAATTCCACGTGCCCCAACCCAGCATGGCCAAACAGATCCCACTGACGCCGGGTGTGGGGATGGAATTTCTGACGAGGACGTGTGTCACGGGGTCTGCGCTGCTCCTGGTCCTCCCACCTAGCTTAAGGGAAAACTGGCCGTAAGCCACTGGGCAAACTACCTATAGGCTTCGGTAGCCTGACAGGTTCAGTTCCGGTGATTTACTTGAAAACCCTCCAGCACACGGTGTGATGTCACAGGATGGACGCAGCAGCTGAGGCGGCGTGGCATTTCAACCAGGGGCGCGCAGGCTGGACCTGCACAGCCCGGTGAGCGCGGCAGGAGCCACCCCGGCCTGAGATGGTCTCGATGTTGGTGACTGCGGCGGGGGTGGGGTGGGGGGGGTGGGGGAGGGAGCAAACGTGCTACGCTGAGGGTATTAGGAGCGAGGCTTCTCACCACTGGAGACAGGAACACATGTGGAGGATGGGACAGCTAGAACTGACCCTGCGGGCTGGGGTGGGAATTGGAGGTATCACTGTGATTGTAATATGCACAGACATGCATGTGGATGCCGAAGTATGTATACGTGCATGTGTATGCATGTGTGTGCACATGGATGTCCTAGCTCTGTCCACTGAGGGCCTAGAAGTGATGCCCAGCAGCAGTGAGCACCCCTAGCACCAAGATCTTGGTTTCTAAGTGCCCTTATCCAATAGAGGGCACCAGGGCCCATTAGAGAAACGGCTGATGGCAGGGCTGGGGCAGAAAAGGTACAAGATGAACCGGGAACACCTTGTGCTGGAAAGAACTAGGGGAGCGCTCAGGGAAGGATGGCCATGTCCAGGACACAGGGACCAGCTCAAAGACACCCTGCCTGGCCAACTGCAGGACGGTTTGAACATCTACGTTATGATAGCGAAGGTATCACCTGTTGAATGAAACAGGCCTCCTTAAGACCAAACTGATGCCATACGTCCATACATATTTCTAGATAAATAAAATATAAATAAGTAGGAGAAAAGCCAACAGTGGCTTCTCTGTTGAATGCCACATAATATGTAAAGGAATGATGAAATTAGAAAATCACTATTTGTCAGCTGTCGTGCTAATAACTGATTCAGGCAAAAATTGTCAGCAGTTCCTAAAACTACTGGGTGAAATTTGGTGAGGAAAGGATATTTATATAGTCTCCAAGTAGCTCCCCATAAGGAACTTATAACTACAAAATACTTCCTAATTTTATGGTAGAGAAACCTAGTAGACACCTTCTCATTCAGGTGATAAAGTCAGTTTCATATCTCTATGAAATGTGTATATCTTTCTGTATATATATATATATACATACACATATATGGATAGATATACACATACACATACACTCTCCCACGCACATAATTATGCGCATACACAGAGAGAAAATAAGGCAAATGGTAAAACGTTAACCGTGGAGGAGTATGGAAAAGGACATTTGGGGGTCCTCTACTATCTTTGCGACTTTTCTCTCCGTCTAAAAAGATTTCCAAATAGAAGGTTTTACAAAAGAACACAGTCAGATGGCATCTCATCAGGGCGCTCCCATCCATCCTCGATGCATACGTCACTTTTTGCTAATTAGAATATTCAGTGTCGCCCATGGTGAGCACCGCCCCTGTGACAGCCACAACCAGGAGAGACGGCTGCTCACAAACACCCCCTTCACCGTTCAAGATGCCGGTTGACTAACATGTTTTCAAGACGGTCTCTGCCCTTGCAGGGACAGGGTTTAGGAATCCAGCAAGGCCTGTAGCCTGTGCCCTAGAATCGATCCCCACCCCTTCCTGTGTCCAGCCGTCACCGTGGAACCACGGGTCTCACCCAGCAGCTATTTTATCCCCCAGGAGACATTTATCGATGTCTGGAGACATTGTTGGTCGTTACAACCGGGGGAGAAGTCTACTGGCACGTAGTGGACCCACCCCAGACAAGTCTCCATCCACAGTGTCCCTCAGGCCCAGCCGGGAGCCCTGGCCACAGAGAATTCTGCCCCCTTGAAATAAGAGCAAAGAAGCCTGTCTCGGAAACCTTGGCAGTTTTTCAAGTGAACCTTCCATGTGAAGTGTTGGCCAGAGCACCTCCAGGAATGGTGGTCTCCTCCAGTCCACTCAACAGGATACATGAGCAGTTTTAGTGTGTTTAGCTAATAAATGTCAGGATGTGGCCGAATTTGGCTGAGACCTCATTATAACCTAACAGTGTGGTCGTCTGGGGGCAGCTGACGCTCATCTACCTCAAAGATACTTTCAGCAGCTCTGGTCAGTCAGAAAAACCCAAGTGCCCAGCAGCCAGAGGCAGCTCAGCCCCTGCCCAGGGCCCGCCTGAGCGTGCAAGGCCCCTCCTGGAGCAAAGACACGACGGAGCGGACTATGTAAAGCAGGACCCAGACTCTACGCCCGAGCAGGTCACTCTGTGCTCATTGTCTCTTATTTTTGTGGGAGAAAAGCACAAGGCTCCTGTTCCTGGCTCAGCTTCCTTGGGCTCGGATAAGGAGATGGGGGCGCCAGGCACACCCACGTGACAGGCTGTGGAGCCACCTGCCTGCTGGGCGGGGACCAGGAGGACGCAGAGGGGCTTCCCACCGGCCTATCGCGCCCCGTCTGCGGGCCCCACCTCCTGCTGCCCGCGGCGCCCGTCTCCGCACAGCCCCGCGATGTCCCCCTGGTGGGGGTGCAGGGGAGCCAGGCTGCCGGGAGGCGTCCTCGGACGCTCCCCCAGCCCACAGTGCGTGAGGTCGGGCTCCCGGCCGTCCCCCCGCAGGAGCCCGGACCCCTCACCTGATAGGCCGCGGAAGCCGCGCTCCAGACGAAGCCCTGGGGGAAGCGGCCGTGCAGGAACTGCCCCTCGGGGCCCCGCGGCATGCCGTTGCTGGCCGCCACCGCGGCGTAGTGCCGGGCCGAGGCTCTTGCGGTGCGGGGCCGGTCCTTATGGCTGAAATCCACGTGGTACAGCCCGAACCTGACCGCGTAACCGTGCAGCCACTCAAAGCCGTCCATGAGGGAGCGCGCCGCGTACCCTCGGAGGTCCACGCCGTCGAGCCTGTGGGCTGGAGACATTCCAGGGGAGAAGGGCTTCCCGGGGGCAGGGGCCCCGGCTCCTCACGCCCAGACATAGTGCTAAACCACCAACGGGTACACGGGTATACATGCCCTGGCGGACAGGTCATCTTGTGTCTGGTTTTACCCCAAACAAGTATTAATGACTGATCTTTGTGAAATCAAATTCTTTTGTTGGAGTAAAGGGATGTGTTTCAAATTCAAGAGTCTCAGCCCACTTTTGAAGTTAAACACAAAGCCCAGCTGGTGTGGCTCAGTGGTTGAGCATCACCCATGCACCAAGAGGTCACCGGTTCGATTCCCGGTCAGGGCAGGTGCCCAGGTTGTGGGCCTGATCCCCCTGAGGGGCATGCAGGAAGCAGCCAATTAATGTTCTCATCTCCCTTTCCCTCTCTAAAATCAATAAAGAAAAAGAAAAGAAAGTTAAACACAAAGGTGAATTAGAAAACAGTTTCTCACTCTGGGTCGCACAGGCCCCACAGGAACATAAGCTACGCCCGCAGACAGCTATCTCTGTTCGCTGCTGTTACCCCGTCATCTAGAAGAGAGCTCGCCACGCAGTGGCTGCTCAGTAATGAATGGATGGGTGGAAGAAAATGTTTCTGTGGGGACTGCGTGTGTACACTTGGGGAGATGACTGTAGCTTTTCTCAGACTCCCGAAGGGAAATGGAGCCCCAGACAGGGAAAGAATTACGTTAGCAGAGAGAGACTCGCTGATGGTTTGCGATCCACTCCACCCAATCATTTCAGGCACATGACGTATGGGTGCTGGAAGATTTTGTAAGGGGGGCATGAACCCTCACATACCTTTCAAAGCTTCATTGATGTAGGTTTTGTGATAAAATATCCGACTGGTGTCTTCCAGGTCCGGATTGGTCAGCCCCACGCCGTTCTCGGTGATGTAAATGGGGATGTCACCATACTCTTCCTTGATCCAATTGAGCAGCCTTCGCATCCCCCAGGGTGCAGCTCTGCTCAGGGCTGTGGAAGGCCAGGAAGGGTCCTCCTCCTCAGCCGCCTCCTGGTCGTCTTCGTAGGAGGGTGGATTTAGCCTGGGTGTTGTATGCCGCACGATTCTGGTGGAGTAGGTGTTGAGACAGAACACATCGGCTGTGGCCCTGACGTACCTCTTCTCTTCCTCGGTGAAGCTCGGCAGGCGGGACGTGGCTAAGTGTTGCAGTTCGCTCCTGTTCCCCACTTTCCACTTCATGGCATCGGGATAGTCTCCGTTTCTGAAGATGGGGTGGGCGAACCAGCCCAGTGAGAACTGCAGCATTCGGTCAGCTGCCTCCACATCCCTGGGGACCTCTGGTGACTTGGGCTCTGCCCAGTGTGCCCCGAGGCTCAAAGAGACGACCCCCTTCTGCTCTTGCCTGTACTTCTCATCGTAAGTGTGATAGACTCTGGCGTGAGCTTTGATGAGTGCATGGCCAATCCTGTACGGCGCCCAGCCTGGATCCTTCACATTTGGGGGGAAATCCCCTGAGCCATAACCCAACCATGCCTGGTATGTGGGTTCATTAAAGGTCATCCAGAACTTGACTCTGTCACCAAAAGTCTGGAAACAAAAGTCTGCATAGCTGTTAAACAACTCAATCAAGGAAGAATTATCCCAGCCTCCGATGTCTTGCAGGGCCTGGGGCAGGTCCCAGTGGAACAGGGTCACCATGGGAAAGATGTTGCTTTCTACCAAGCCATCGATCAGCCTGTTGTAATAATCAACACCATGTCTGTTGATGGAACTGTTTCTCCCAGTTGGGAATATCCGAGACCAGGAGATAGAGAAGCGATAGGCCTTCACCTTCAAAGCTCGAAGCATATTCAGATCTGCGTTCAGTTGGTTATAGCTGTCACAGGCTACGTCTCCAGTGGCGTTGTCTTTCACGTTGCTGCCTGGTGTGTGGGTGAAGTTATCCCAGATGCTGGGGCCTTTGCCGTGAGCGTCCCAAGCCCCTTCAACCTGATAGGCTGACGAGGACACGCCCCACAGAAAGTCATCCCGGAACGTGCCGTGGTAAAACAAATCTCTTTCAAACTTGGGTTGGTTGGAGAACTTTTCCCAAACGACCTTAGCCTTGGAGGGCACCTCAGATGGAAAAGTAAAGGCTCTGATTTTAGGGGGGAAGTTTGCTGTACTGGATGGTGGCAGTCTTTTTACTTTTTTGGTGAGGAAACCATTCTTTTCAATGATGCTGGTGAAAAAATAGGCAGATTTCCTGGGAGTCCTTGGCTTGCTGCTGTCGTTGAAATGGACGTGGTACAACCCAAACCTCTGGCTGTAGCCAGAGGGTCCCTCGAAGCCGTCGATGAGCGAGCGAGCAATGTAAGAGCGAACGTCCACTGAGTCCTTCTGGACGGCTGTGGGGAAAAACAAAAACTGTTATTTTAAAGCCTCTGTTACTTTGCTCATTGAAGGTCTTCCTTTTGACACGAAAGTTTTGGAGGTGACTTGGGTTACTCCAAAAATGTTAACCCCTTTTCTTCCTTAGAATAAATAAGGAAAACCCACAAGACCCCACAAAACAACAGGCCACATCCATGGCCATAACTCTCAATCCAAAGCAGCATCCTTGTCTTGAAATGAATAATGGAGAGACTATGTACCCCACTGGCTAGTATTAGGACTCCCTGGTCTTACATAGGGTACATAAATTATTTAATCTTTAAAAATGTGCTTTTGTTTTTCCTGGTTTATGTTTAGCAAGATTGACAAAAAGTGATCACACAGTCCATGTTAAAAACAGAGAGAAAGAAAAAAAGCCTAAAGAAATAGATTCCTTGGTGCAGTGGTTTGAATGGTGGTCCCCAAAAAGATATGTCCAAGTCCTAACCCTTGGAACCGGTGAGGGCAACCTGACTTGGAAAGCGGTCTTTGTAGATGTAGTGAAGTTAAGGGTCTCAAAATGAGATCGTCTGGGATCAACCAGGTAGGCTCTAAGCCCAGTGACCTTAGAGAGACATGGGGGAGAGGCCAGGTGAGGCAGAGGCAGAGACTGGAGCGAGGCAGCCACAAGCCAAGGGATGTCTGGAGCCGCCTGAAGATGGGAGGGGCAAGGAAGGACCCTCCTGAAAACTTTGAGGGGCGAGCATTTCTACTGACCCCTTGACTTTAGACTGCTGGACTCCAGAACTGTGAGAAAATAGAGAGAGTCTAGCGAGTCAACCAAGAACCAGAGCTGAAGCAAGGCGAAGGCTGTGGGCTCCAACCGGGAGTCAGCGAGGTGCTCAGTCTTGTTCTGTCGGATCGCACAGCCTCTCCGCAAACAGTGACTGTATAAGCGGCAGAAAAGCTGCTGCTCCTTCCGCAAGCAGTGCAGTAAGCACCCACTCTGCCCCCGGCTGTGCCAGGCGCTGGGAACATAACGATGAGTAAAAGCCTCGCAGGCCAGGGGGCAGAGGGAAGACCTGAGCCAGGAGTAGAAAGGCTGCCGCTCCACTCGCAGGATGCTCGGCCCCCACTTCGTATCTCGAGCACCAGTGTCCACAGCTGTGCCACGAGGAAGTCTCTGTCCCTGTTGTTTACCTGCAGCTGTGTCGGGGTCACTGGAAGTAATGTCGCAAATGGATCCCAAGATTACGAAGATTACAGAATTGTAACCTTGATGCTGAGAAGGGTGCAGTGAAGAACAGAGAGGGTGTCTGACCTTCCCCACTGGGATGCGTGTCCTCACTGCAGTGCCGGGGGCACGTACCACTGATCAAACTCCTTCCCTGTGAATCGAGACCGGGCCTTGAAACCTAGCCCTCTGCGCAGGCATTAGCCATTCTCAGCTGATGAGGACTGACATGAGATCAAGTCTAATGCCACTCCTTTTCACTTGGAGTAAAAAGACATGAAACAGTATGTTAGGTAAGGAGGAGATGGTAGATGTGGATTAGCCGGATCAAAGTAAATAATATGGAATGCATATTTTTAAATACGTTTCTTATTGATTTTAGAGAGAGAGGAAGGGAGAGGGAGAGAAACATCAATCAGCTGCCTCCTGCATACCCCGTACTAGGGTCAAGCCTGCAACCTGGGCATGTGCCCTGACTGGAAATCCAACTGGCAACCTTTGGAACATGGGATGATACTCAACCACTGAGCCACGCTGGCCAGGTGTATATTTTCAGAGCCAGTTAAAGGAGCTGGTGCGCACTGTGGCTGGAGCAGCGAGGGAAGGTGGGGCTGGAGCCCCGCCCTGAGTGCCCATGCCACCTGCAGTGCCAGCATCACCCATGTTGCAGTTTTCTGTCTGCGTCCCTCTGTAGACCATGAATACCCTATAGGAAAAGACAGTTTTGCTCAATATTTTACCCCTACTGTTTTACACAATGTCTGGAGCATAATAGGCAGTTAATCGATATTTGTTAAATAAATGCATTAAAAGATGATGAGGCTTGATGAATGGATAGGAATCGGGGGGCAGAATTTAGAAGGGAGGTATTTTAGGGAATAAGAATATAGGAACAAAGACTTGAGGCCTTCGAGGGAGAGAGTTAGGAGGCTGATGTGAAGGACTCATGCTCTGAGCTTTTTGGCTTCGTTTACTTGGAAGACTGTCTTTGTTTCATAAAACTAAACTGTGAAGACTTGAGGAAGTACCACCCACCTTCCGATCATCAGCATAGCCCCTGTTCTTACCCTTGAGCACCTCGTTGATATACTGATTGAAGTAGTCTATTCTCAAGGAATCATCAAAGAGATCTTCACTTTCCCCTATGGGAACGCCATTCCCAGCCAGGTAGATGGGAACTTTTCCTCTTGTGTATTCCAAGGATACAAACCGCAACAGCCTCCTTATACCCCAGGGCACCACACGAATCCATGGGGATGAGGTCTGGGGCCACGCAGGGTCCACGTGCTGCGAGAAGCCTCCAATGGCATCGTAGCTGGGGGCGCAGGTGTCCTGCTGGGCCTTGCTGATGAGGCGGGACGTGTAATGGGACAGACCCAGGAAATCAGCAGAGCCCTGCAGGAGCTGCTTCTCTGCTTCGGTGAATTCAGGCAGCTGGGCCACAGGACTGGAGCACTGTGTGTTTACCTGTTGAATCTGGGCCCTCAGGGCAGCTGGGTAGTCTCCATCCACAAAGATAGGGTGTGCAAACCAGCCCAGCATGAAGTGCAAGAAGCGCTCGGAGGCTCTCACGTCCTCAGGCCTCTCTGGGGATAGAGGCTCTGCCCAGTCTGAGTTCAGCACGATGCCCACGTGCCCCTGCTGCTGTGGGCGATGGTGGCTGTTGTAGAGATGCCAAGCTCTGGCATGAGCCTTGAGGACCAAGTGAGCCACCTTGTGAAGAAGAAAGGAGATACAGTGCTTAGTAACAACAGCAGCAATGTCAATAACAGCACCAACAAGCCAATGGCAAGTCAACGACAATGTCAACAAATGAACATCAATGTCAATAATATCAGTGAATTAATAACAGCAACACTAAAAATGTCAACATCAAAAACATCAACACTAATGCAACACTGTCATTAAATCATCAACAAGCCAACAAAATCAACAAGAAGCTAAGACTGATGCTAACAATGTCAACAAGTCAACAATATGGACAGTGCTGACATCACCACCATCAACATCAGTTCCCCCAATATCAACAATGTGGACAACAATGTCAACAAGTTAACACCACCATCTAGAGTTTACCAGCAACAGCATTGACAACCATCTTAACAGCAGCAGTTGTTAATGAATTCACTCATGTAATCCTCACAACAACCTTATGTGGCAAGTACAGTTTTTATTACCACTATACGAATGAGGAAAACCAGACCCAGAGAGGGTAAAAGGCAGTGACTCCAGGCCTGTATTGTCACTCACAATGTTACTCTGCCTCTGTTCTCAATAAGTACTTATTGACTCATTAGTCAACAACTAATGGGGAGTGGAGATCATTTTAGTTAGTACACGTAGGAAGGCACACTTCTTTCTAGTTTACCTGTTCTCCTTTCTACCTAACAAGATCTAAGAAGAAACATCACGACCAGGAATTTCTTTGTAGACTTAACTGATAGTCTTACAATAATCAATAGCTTTCCTTGAAGCACCATGAGCAAACCAGGGTGTCTGGTGTATAACAAGCCCAGATTTAAATCCTGACTCTGTCACTACCTTGCTCCTTAATCTCAAACAATCTCTCCGTCAACTTCAGCTTCCTAGTCTGCAGGGCAGGGAATCGCGGTCACAGAGGGCTGCCCGAGGTCGGACACTGACCCCACGCAGACACTTGGGAGTGTGAGGAGAGCCGGCAACTGCTCAGCTCGCTTCCCTGTCACCCGAAGATGCTGACACTGTTTGAATAATTTTATGTCAAAATATGCCCAAGGAGGTGAACCTCCTGCCTGCTGCTCACGTCCCAAATGTTAGTCCTCACGGGATCCTAAATTCCAACAATAAACTGTGACCCTTTCCAGAGGCAGGAGTGCCCCCCTTCTAAACTAATCGTGTCAGGCAGGGTGCCCAGTGGACCATTAGACAACCACCAGAAACAGTCATTTGACGATGTGCTAACATGGGAAAGTGTGAACATGTCAAGTATAAAAATGGGTACCAGGGTCTTTGCTGTGTCAAGGCAGGTGCATGGATTGTAACAATGCCACGTTGATCCTGGGAAGGGGCTGTGCACGTGTCGGGGTAGCAGGCATATGAGAAATCTTTGCACCTTTCCATTCAATTTTGCTATGAACCTGAAACTACTCTAAAAAATAAAGTCGATTTTTAAAAACAGGTACTAAATTAAGTGCACGGTGATTACACTATGAATGCAAGGAAGCCCAGACTGGAAGACTTACGCGAGAAACCTTTTCTTTGAAATTTGTCTTTAATGGTGACATAATGTTTTAACAATACGTATAAGAATGATTGAAGGAGAAACATGAGGTGGACTTTCTCACTGAAGTCCCTGTAGAAGAATCTCAGGAACCACAGCTGTAGGGATCAGAAGCCCAAGGAGCACCCTGCAAAGCCATCAGTTAGAAATGAAGGAGACAGAAAGAGCTTCCTAGACAAGAAAAGAATAATGGAGTTCATCACCACCAAACCAGTACTATAAGAAATGTTAAAGGGACGAGAAGAAGAGGAAGGAGGAGGAGGAGGAGGAAGAAAAATATATGAATAATAAAATGGCATTAACTACATACCTATCAGTAGTTATTTTAAATTTAAATGAATTAAATGCTCCAATCAAAAGACACAGGGTGGCTGAATGAAAACGAGACCCAAGTGTCCATCAATAAACAATCGGATAACAAGATGTGGTACATATATACAATAAAATATTACTCAGCCACATAAAAGAACAAAATCTTACCATTTGCAACAACATAGATGAACCTAGGAGGTATTATGATAAGTCAGACAAAACAAATACCATATGCTTTCACTTACATGTGGAATCTAAGAAAACCAAACAGAAACAAACTTATAGATACAGAGAAGACACTGATGGTTGCCAGGTAGGAAGGGTGTTGGGGGTCTGGATAAAAAAGGTGAAGAAATTAAAAAGTACGGATTGGGCCCTTGCTGGTTTTGCTCAGTGGTTAGAGCATCGGCCCGCAGACCAATGAGTCACAGGTTCGGTTCCCTCTAAGGGAGAGCGTACCTCAGTTGCAGTTCGTCCCCGGCCCCGGTTGGGGTCGTGCAGGTGGCAGCCAGTCAATGTCTCTCTCTCTCTCTCTCTTTTTCTCCCTCCCTCCTACTCTGTCTGAAGATAAATGTAAAAATATTCTTGGGTGAGGAATTTAAAAAAAAGTAAATATTGGCCCTGGCCAGGGAAGCTCAGTTGGTTAGAACACTGTCCTGATACGTCAAGGTTGCAGGTTCGATCCCCAGTCAGGGCACATACAAGAATCCACCAATGAATGGGTAAATAAGTAGGACGACAAATCAATGTTTCTCTTTCTTTCTCCTTCTCCCTCTCTCCCTAAAACAAACAAATCAATCAATCAATCAATCAAATTGAAAAAAAAAGAAGCAAGGCCCTGGCCGGTACGGCTCAGTTGTTGGGTGTTGTTCTGTGCACTGAAAGGTCACCGGTTCAATTCCTGGTCAAGGACACACATGGGGTTGCAGGCTCAATTCCCAGTGGGGGGTGCAGGAGGCAGCCAATCAATGTTGTGCTCTCACACTGAGGTTTCTCTCCCTTTCCCTTCCTCTCTCTCTAAAAATTAAGAAACTATTAAAAAAAAAAAGACGTACAGTTTGGCAGTTACAAAACCGTCACAGGGATGTAAAGTACAGAACAGAAAATAGAGCCAATAATATTGTAACAACTCTGTATGGTGTTGGGGTAGCAGACACCGGGGGGATCACTTGTAAGTTACATAAATGTCTAACCACGATGCTGTACACCTGAAACTAATATAATACTGACTGTCGAGTGTAACTGAAAAAGTTTCTCGTTAAAACAAGGACGCCTACGGAGGAAAGGCTGGTGACCGCGCCACAGGCGACGCGCAGAGGCCCGGCCTCCCGTCTCAGTGCGTCCCCCCGGTGCCCTCAGCTGCTGGACAAGAGCAGAGTGGACACCGTGACTCAACTACTGTAATTCCTGACATTTTATTGAGTCATTTATTCAGAGCATTCCAGCTCACTCGAATTGTAGACACTTTGACTTGTTCTCCAGTTTTTTGTGTGTCTTAGTATGACCTCCCCCAAAGGTGGCAGACAAAACCTGAGTGTCGCAGGGGAAGCCAGACTACCATGTCTGTCCTGGGGAAAGTCGGTGGTTTTTCTGGGAGATTTTGAAGAAAAAGGACAATGATAGAAGGAAGCCATTGATGGACATTAAACCATCTCCTGTTTTATCTCCATTATATACATCTCCTTCTTGTTGAAATGACACCCTGACTGCTCACTGGAAAGTCAACTGCCCCTCCCCCCCAACCAGTGTGTGGAGAGGTAGAGCTGGGACCTGGACCCAAACCAGTCAGTGCCGCGCAGTCCCCTCGCCTGGACCAGTGATCGGCTCAGGGGTGGACAGGTGACCCGACAGAGCGCAGGACACACAGGGAGACTGGCTGGGAACCAGGACGAGGCCAGCTTCCTTTCCCACTGGTCTGGCCACCGGAGCAGTACTGCTGCCACCTGGCTACCAGGTAGCCCGAGAATAAAGCCAACAAGGGGAGCAAGAGAAGAAGAGAAACTGGGTCCTGGTCACATCGTTTACGGTCTGATCACTTAAAACCAAGACTCTTGGTTTCCTGGATGCATAAATCCCCTACCTGCTTGACTAAACTTAGGTTGGGTTTTCGATCACTTGCAACCAGAGTCCTGGGCGACACGGAAAACTTGCTTTGGAGTCCATTAGACTTGGGCTCAAACTCTGGCTTCAAACGAACCCACTAGTGATGTCATCATGACCAACTTGCTTCTCCTCCTGAGCCCCAATTTCCTCACCATCAGTGCTAGTCTGAGGAGGTAATGACTATTTCCATTTATTTACATTTTTTTTCTTTTTTATTGATTTTTAGAGAGAGAGGAAGGGAGAGCGAAAGAGAGATAGAAACATCGATGAGAGAGAACATCGACTGGCTGCCTCCTGAGCCGATCACTGGGCGTACAACCTGGGCCCACAACCTGGGCATGCACCCTGACAGGGAATCGAACCGGTGATCTCTTGGTGCGTGGGCTGATGCTCAGCCACTGAGCCACACCGGCTGGGCTGTAACGACTGTTTTTAAAGTGCCAGCACAGTGTTTGGACAAAATAAGGTGATTAAGAATTTATGGTCCCTTCCCTCTCTCTGATTTCCTTTACAAAGCAAAAGGTAAACAGTTGCTCATGGGAAGAGAAAATGACCTTCTTGCAGACCAACGTCCTACCCTTTCCAATGAGTAGAAGCTGCAAAGATGAGAAGTACCTTGAAAGAGGCCACCCCTGGGTCAGAGATGCCTGGCGCGTGCTGGCCGGTGCCGTAGCCCGCGTAGCTCATCACCCACGGCTCGTGGAAGGTCACCCACAGCTTCACGCGGTCCCCAAAGGTAGAGAAGCAGAAGGCCGCATAGTCCAGGAAGGCGTCCACCACACTCTCGTTCTGCCACCCGCCTCGCGCCTGCAGGGCCTGAGGCAGGTCCCAGTGGAACAGCGTGGCCATGGGCTGGATGTGAGAGTCCAGCAGGCTGTCGATCAGCTTGTTGTAGTAGGCGACACCCCGGAGGTTGGGGCTGTGCCCGCGCCCCGTGGGGAAGATGCGGGACCAGGAGATGGAGAACTTATAGACCTGAGCCCGGAGGCCACGAAGCAGGGAGACGTCAGAGTCCACCTTGTGGTAACTGTCGCTGGCCACACCTGGTGCTGCTTGGCCCTTGGCGGCCTGCTGGGGTCCGAGTTGGTCCCAGACACTTGCCCCTCTTCCATCCTCAGCCCAGCCTCCTTCCACGTTAAAGGCTCCGGTGGAGACACCCCAGAGGAAGCCTTCAGGGAAAACGTCCTGCAGGAAAGCGTCCCTTTCTGCCCTGGGCTGGTGGGCAAATGCTTCCCAGACTCTCCGATAGGCAGAGCCGGCCGAGGAGCGGGCTGCAGGCTCGGAGCCCCGCGGCCCGGCGGCCTGAAGGGGCAGGCTGCCGGCCAGGGAGCAAGACCTGCCGCGGACCAAAGTGACACAGAAGGGCACAGTAAGTGATGACTCCGAGTTACTAGTGCCCCCAGACTGATGAATGTGTTTAACCGGCCGAGACTCCAGAAACACGGAGAGGGAGCCCGTGTCCACAAAGCCATGGGCTGGAAGCGGGGGAACGACCCTCGTCATCCCTACCTGGTTACTGTCGCTCCTGGGTGCTCACCTGCTTCTCTCTGTATTAGCTCACCCCTGAGTACTGTCTTAGGTGTTGATGCCATAATTTTTTCTTTTTATACTTTATTGTTTATAAAACATAGCTAATAATAATGTTGACTTCGGTTTACTGAGACTTGATTCTGTGCTGGCCACTGTGATAAAAAAGTATGCATATTATCTCATTTAGTTTTCATAAGACATTTACGGGCTAGGGACTATAATATTTGTTTTCATCCGACAGAGGAGGAAATAGGCCTAAAGAAATGAGGACCTGGCTTCAGGGGGCACTAGCCACTTGACAGCTGTCACAGAAGCGTTCGGACCTCAGATGTCCATGCTGGACCACGCGGCAGAGCCTTGTCAAGGAGGACGAGGCCACAGAGAGGAACCTGGATTCCTGAGGACTGTGGCCACTCCAGACTCTCCATCTCCAGACTTTATTTACGTAAATGAACTCACAGCTTGTAAACGGTAGAGCACAGAGTCTACTTTCAAACACATATCACTAGGTGTGTGTGTAGGTGTACAGACATTTATGTCCACATAATTTTTGTGTTATGTTCTATTTTCTGAAATAAATGCATCTGAAATAAAGCATAAAAATGCTCTCGTTATATACAGTGAAGTCTGATTCTCCTTCCATTTTTGGGGAAAACGTTGGTTTTTTAACGTTTCATATCAAACTTCTAAATTGATTTCCCCATCGATGCGTCATGTCCTGCAGGCTGGGAAGCACCAGCAGAGGGCGGCCTTGTGTTTGGTCTGGAGAAGAGAACACACTTGGGGAGGGGGTGACACTTCTATTAGGTTGGCCCAGAGTGAAGAACTGGTAGAAGTGATCGGGGTGCTGCGGAGGGCCCTCCCTCCCATGAAGGGAAGCCTGGGCCTTCCCAGCCTAAGCACCTCCTGTTTTCTGAAGCATCAACTCATCCTCATTTACTAGGAGAGTGCTGAGGGGAAATGATGAATTACCATAATTAGTTGTGAATTATCCAAAACATGCATGACTCTCGACAGAGCAGGGACAGAGCAGGGACAGAGATGCCACCTGTTCATGCACAGCCTCGGCTGCCCTGGCCTGACTCCTAGCCCAATGGAAAGAGATCTTGAAGAAGTAAATAAACCACTGTAGATAGAACAGACCTTGCTGTGTAAACCTTGGAGCCGGGAGTCCTGAGTTTGCCTAATGTGGGAAAAGATTTAGCAGGCAAAGCCTCGATCTCTGCCCAGCCCCTCCAGCTATCCCTCCTTCAGCCGACCCCCGAGCATCCCAGGTAAGACTCTTTTCTCCCTTCTCTGGGGAGCAGTGTTGTTTCATGCCTCACCCTTGTGTTTATGGGCCTTTCTGTCTCACCTCTGAGGGCTAAAATTCTCAAGTGACAAAAGAGGGGTCCTCTCGGATCCCTCTTCTACCTGCCCCTGCACCCAGTAGCTTCTCCATCAACACCACCTGGGTGAGGACCCCCCACTGTCGGTTTAACATCAGCCAATGTTACCTTCACTTCAGGCAAAGTTCAAGGGGTTAGCGGACCCTGCACCTGGTGTCATGTACTGTGGCTTTATAATCATTAAGCTCTCAAGGTACCGCTTGTATTATGACCTCGAGTCTTGCTTTCTGAGAAGACATAGCCCGGCCCCCTCAGCTGGTCCCCGAGTGGGCAGGGGGCAGCTCTGAGCCGCTTGCTCATTGCACCGTTCACATCCCGCACAGAGCCTGACACGTGGCAGCTGCTCCGGGTCTGCTGATCGGAGCTGCCGATCTGAAGTGAGTCGACAGGATTAAACCACAGAATGTCTACAGTTAACTCGGGGGCCTGAGGGCGGATGACGACAGTCCCGAGCGAGCACACGTGGGAAAGGGCAGCAGAGTATCCTGCAAATGTCAGTTATTGATCGTTCAACAGGAAATCTATGTTACCTTTTCTCAGAATCTGATGAACAGTTCAAGAATACATTCATATCAAACCCAATGGTGAGCACTTGGTTCTTCTTGAGGGCTGTAAGAGAAGAAGTTAATTAACTCTCCCTGAAGCCCAACAACGCACAACACGACCGAGAGCGTCCCACACTGACAACGCAGCCGCCTCTGGAGAATTCCAGGGGCTAAGGACTGGAGGTCAGAAGGGGTTTCTACCCACTCAGGACTCAGAACAGGGGTCCTCAAGCTCTGGGTGCCCCAGCATCACCTTCAGAGCTCATTAAACACAACTGCTGGGCCCACTCCAAGTTTCTGATCAGTTTCTGATCAGATTCTAATCAGATTCTAATCTGAGGCGGGCTTTATACTGGGAATGTCCGCCAGGTTCCTGTGAGCTGAAGCTGCTAGTCTGGAGACCACACACGGAGAACAATTGATTTAGAAGAAGTCAAATATCAGAAAGGGGTGGGTTTAAAGACAATTGTAGTAAATTATACATTAAACATAAAATCAACCATGTTAACCATGTAGAAAGGGATGGAATTAAGAACAGGAACTGCTTGTCCCCGGCCCTGGTTGGTCGTGCGGGTGGCAGCCACTCGATGTGTCTCTTTCACATCGATGTTTCTCTCTCTCTCTCTCCCTCCCACTCTATCTGAGCAAAAAACGAAAAAGTGTCCTCGGGTGAGGATAAAAAAAAAAAAAGAACAGGAACTGCTGTGCCATGGAAGGCGAGTCAGGGGCAGGGTTCAGTGGTGTCTGTGGACAAGTTTCATGAGGTCTGTGGAGCCATCTCAGCATGGTGACAAGTGGTGGAAAGGGCACTACTGACTAGTCCCATACTCTGACCTTACAGGGTGACTGGACTGAATATCAGGGCACCTGGAATGTGTCCCCTGACCCCTCCCTGCAGGGTGTTTACTGACCCTCAGCCCCTGATGCCTCAATAGACCTCACCTTTCCCTTGACCTGACTGGACCCGGAGCAATCTCCTGAACCACACCAACCAATCAGATTCGCTCTCAAGAATCTGAGCTATCGAGGAGGTGGTCCATGAACTGTGGGTCCTAGACCTGAAGGCTTCGTCCAGGTACCCACCAGAGCTAAGTGCAAGCTGAGGTAACGGGGAAATGAACCAGGGTAGGCAGAGGGGGCTGGCTGGGGGCAGGTGAGGGAAGAGGACAGACAGCCCAGAGCAGTTCCCATGCTTACACCTGGCGTCCGAGGCCTGATGGTCTTTATTTCTATCCAGGAAATATCCTTGGTATTCTTGAACAGAACCTGTCACCTTTCTTGAGTCAATGGGAGCTAAGGGACCAACAACAGGAAGGCCAAGGACACTAAACCCATTGGGGATGGGCTCTCAAACCAACTCTCCTTGGGTCCCTCCTCCTACTGGAAACTCAGACTTTCAATACCTCCCCCACCCCAAATCAGTGCATCGAATGTCACTCAAAGTCTCTCCAGTGATGGTCCACTCACCTTGGAAGAGGCTGAAGAGCAACCCAGCTGGGTTCTCCCTGGCGGAGGGGCAGTGCTGGAGTTTTAGATTAAAGATGAAAACTTTCACTTTTGGCTCAATAGCCTGAAAAGATAAAGGCCAGCAAGTGAACTGAAACTGCCTAGAACAAGTCTTTTGATAACCGGGACAGATATTTCCAGAAGCTACAAATACTCAGTCTGGTTTGGGAAATCACCTCTCGCCATCTCAGTGAGGAAAGGGAGCTGGTTCCAGACGCTGAGGGAGAAAGAGCTGCACTTTTCAGTGACACAGGCCCCCTTCCCACTGACCCCACCACAGAGACAAGCCCACACATGCCTTCAACTCAGGCCTATGAGGCAGCTCCCGGGCCAGGCGCTGTGTTAGTACCAGGCACAGGGCCGTCCGTGCTGGTCAGGGGTCTGTGCACCACAAGAAACTCAGTCAGGTGCCACCATCATGATATTTTTGGATATCCAGGCTTTGCTTCAAGACAGTCTGGTGTGCCCTGGATGGTTTGGCTCAGTGGTCAGAATGTCGGCCCTCAGACCAGAGAGTCCCGTGTTCGGTTCCCACTAAGGGCACGTACTTCGGTTGCAGTTTGTCCCCGGCTCTGCTTGGGGTTGTGTGGGTGGCAGCCACTCGATGTGTCTCTCTCTCACATTGATGTTTCTCTCTCTTCCTCCTTCTCTCCCTCACGCTCTATCTGAAGATAAATGCCAAAATGTCCTCTGGTGAGGATAAAAAAAAAAGTCTGGAGTGGGAGGGGGAGGTAGGGTACAGAAGAACCCAAATCAACCACAAGTTGATTGGTTTTGAAATTGGAGATGGCTTCATTATACTTTTCTTTCTACTTTTGGCTATGTTTGACATTTTCCATAATAAAAAAATAAATATAAGGAGCTGTCTTCATTAAAATTGGAGCAGGTATAATTTCTTCTCCCAGGTCTAGCCATTCTGCTATCAAAGGAAAGAAACATCTCTAGGCTGACACCTTGTTTGACTTCACTTTAAATTCCTTGTTTTGGGGAGGCTGGGTTTGGCCATTTTCCCCATGCTAACTTTTTCCTCCTCTGAGTCCTTAAAGGCTGCTGAGAGATGCCAACAGCAGCTGCTTAGACAGGAGCCCAGAGTTCTGTCTTGTGTTCCCAGAGCCACGGGGAACAATGCCCTTTACAGATGAAACCGTAAGCACTGAGAAGCCGGTAACTTGACCAGGACCACAGGTAACTTGACCAGGACCACAGGTGATGGAGCGGCAGCTCTCACAGCCTTGCTCTTGCCCTGGGCCAGCGCAGAGCTACACGGAGGGGGCAGGTCATTTCCTCCTCCCTGAAAGGTCAGTGCACAGCGGGGGCCGCGCTGTCCTGCAGGAATGGAGAGCTGAGTGGGGACTCCCTGGGACGCAGAGCCCTTTCTGGTCATTGGACGTGGGGCCCTCTCGTGTACCTCCTGTGGAACCTGTGGCCCTGCCGTGGCTCTTCATTGCTGTGCTGGGCCTGAGGGTGTCCTAAGATCTTCCTCTGGCCCCAAGACCCTGCACGCCGGTGGCAGCGGCAGCTGAGCGTCCCTGGGGCACGGAGAGAGGCAAGCAGGCGCTCTGGGGAGCGTGGGAGGGGCCGGGATGGGCGAGCCTGCCTCCTCCTCCCTGCCCTGACTTCTCCCTCTTCCCTTGCAGCCTATGGGAGAGGCCCCTCCAGAGGAGAGTGTGGGACCTGGGGGGAGGAGGGAGGATGGTTCAGGAGAAAGCTGTGGGCAGTGGATTCGGGGACACAAGCCCGCTCCTCTCTGTGGGGAGCACGCGCCGTCCTTCCTGACCTGGGTGTGGTGACTGTGGGCAACGCTCCAGGCATGTCACTAACGCCCCAGAGGGGACAGTGTCCGCTAGCTCAGCTCTCTCCTCACCGCTGCGGGATCAGTGGTCGTCGGCACCTTTAGGGCTGCCCCGGGCGAGAGCAACATCTGTGACTTCCCCCCAAGGACAGAAGGAAGGAAGAAGCGGCGGGCGTAGGAAGTGGCTGCGCCGTGCAGGGGAGGGGGCACTATTTCGCTGCTGGGCTATGAACTGGGGGTTCGCAGCTTTATCCGGACACCGGGGGCAGGTCTTCTGGAGAACGTGTTGATGCAAAGAGGGAGACCAATCCGCCTTCTCAAGCAGCCACGGGGCCACATCTGCATCCCGTGTTCCAGTGTCAGCCTGAGCCCCGCGCCGAGCGAGAGCCCGGGTCTAATTCCTGGAAGACGACGCCGGGCTCAGTCCGCCAGCGCTGCAGGGGCACCGCAGTGCTGCAGCCCAGGGCTGGCGCGGCCCGCAGCACGGGCTCCGCGGGGAGAAGGCTGCACAGAGCTACTCTCACGAGTGGTGCTCGAAAATGCCGCCCTGGTGCGAATTCCCCACACCTTGGGCTCACTTTTGCCTAGAGGCAGTGCGGTGTGGGGAGAAAGCCCTGGTTCCAGGGTCAGCGCGGACGCTCACCGCCTGGCGTCTGCCGTCGGCTCCGTGAGTTCATCTCGGGTGCCCGTGAGGGGCGGGTGCCCACACAGTGCCGACCAGGGCAGAGCAGGCACTGGAGTCCCAGCAGCTACCACTCAAACGTGTGGCGAAGCCCTCGGCTACCTTTGATGAGATCATCTTATCATAGGTAGATAACAAAAGCAACAGCATCCCCGAGGGCCGGCTGGGGACACACGGGGCTGGGGACACGCGAACGGTCCCCTGGCGCCTCCTGCCTCAGGACAAATGGAGGCTCCCCCTGGCTGCAGCACCGAGGGTGTGACATGAACGCACTCGGCCTTTCTCATAAATTATTCCTCTGACGATCCATCCTCCCTGGTGGTGGAGGTGCTGGGATCAAACCAGGAGGCACAGGGCTGGGGCGGAGGTGAGCGGTTTTCTGCAGAGACACCTGCAGGAGGGCAGCTCTTCAGGGGGAGGCACGGGACTCCCGCTGGGACTCGGGCAGCCGGAGAGAAACGACTGGGCACTAATTACCACATCATCGGGAGATGGGAGAGCAGTCGGGACTCCAGGCAGGTGGCACAGCAGTGACCAAGCACAGGAGAGACAGCCAGTAGTCAGGTAGGGGGTGCCTGACACACTTCCCCTAAGGAGCAGAATCCTTAGACTTGGGAAGAACAACGCCGGGTTCAGGAAGAGGGTCCTGAGGGTATAGGAAAGCCCAATAGCTGGGATCTGACTTAGTGGGCTTGGGTGTGAAATGGCTTTAAAAAAACTGTGGTAAAATACAAACAGCATAAAATTTACCATCTTAACCATTTTAAGTGCATAGTTCAGAGGCATTAAGTACATGCAACCGTGAGCCAAATCCATGAAATGTCCTTTTTTAACCCAAAATTTTGATTCCCAGTAGATTTCTACACCAGAGAGCAGGACATGCATGTAACTATCTACCTTAACAAGCCCACCTCACCGCCCTCCTCAGGGAAGACGGCCGAGCCTCCAGATGTCCTCCAGCGGTGCTCTGAGGGAACTCCCCCCCCCCATTGGGCTCTGCAGGTCTGCTGACCCGCTGTTGGCAGTTCAGTTTGCGTATCAGCCACAGCGTTAAATGCCTAATATGCTCCCAGGAACCGCTGCCACTCGTCATCAGCGTGGGAAATGGCTTGACTTACCTGCAATTCACCCAGCTTCTGCAGCAAACTTGTCTGACTCTGGCAATCATAAGACAAATCGAGAGAGAGGAAATCAACCGCGCCCTAGAAATGAGGACACAGGCCCATCAGAGCATAAGCAATTTCAAGATGAAGAACTGCTCAGAAGTGTTCTTTTTGTTTCTACCTGAATATTCCAAAGTAGGATTTTCCAAGGGAAAAGCAGGTGGAGGAGAAGCTGGGGATAGACTGAGAACGTGTGTGTGTGTGTGTGTGTTGCGGGGCTGTGTGTTGTGGATACATCATCTAAGTACTCAGCAAAGTGCTTGGCACCCAGTAAGTGCTCAATGATTGCACACGAGTAAATGAATGAGTGAATGAATGCAGTGCTGTATGCCAGACATGGTGGGTTCCCTCCAAGCAGGTAAGCACTAAGGAGGGAGTCAGAGGCCAGGAGTACCCTGGGCAGCACCGTCCTCAATGGCTCCCACTTTGCCAGGATGGGACACCATGGGCCCCTCAGTGATCTCTGCAGACCCTACTGGGGTACCGAGTTTTGTTTTCATTGTAGGCTATAGCCACTGGCTACTTTCAGAAGGCAGTTTAAAGTCCCAGCTGGCCCTAGCCTGGCCCATACTGTTACTGAGAGCACAGCTCATGGCCCTGGCCTTCGATGACCCCGTTTATGCTCCAGTGAAGGACGTACCCCTCTGCTCTGTCTCTGGCCTGCGTAGATCTAAGAACTTCAGATCCACAGTCTAAACATATAAACAGACCATGTGATTCCCTTCCCGCCCTTCTCAGCACCAGCTTCCAGTCACGACTAGATCCTTGCCTGCCTTCTCCCCTCACAGACCATGTTCCTTCAGAACAAGACTGTGCACAGGGCTCCTGGTGAAAACTCTGTGCCGTGGACTCGTGTAACTGCCTGACCTGGAGCCCCGGGTTTCCCAGCCCCGACCTCGGTGTTGACTGAGGCCCATAGCCTGCTCCACTGCGGTGGGGCCACTCCACCTCCGCCCCCTGCCCGCCGGGCTCCTGCTGCTGTCAGCTCCATGCAGCAGTCACTGAGCATCTACTCTTGAAATCACTGTGCTGGGTACAGTGGATGGGGGTTCACGTTTAAAGATGAGTAAGATCCACAGAAGCTGACAGCTTAATAGAGTGTCAGTAAATGCACCGATTACACAGAGACGAGGCAGACATTTAGAAGTGCTGTAGGAAGACCCACCCCAGGGGTCCTCAAACCTTGGCAGCGATTAGATTAGCCTGAGAACTGGGGCTGCCCATGAAGGCCAGGACTGTCCTCGGCCTGTGTGCTTGCCTAGCCCCCCAGGTGGTTCTGATAAACACCAGCACCTGGGAACTGCTGGTCCAAGCACACGGCTACGGGTTTCAGGTGGGGGAGCCACAGCAGGTCGAGCGGGCTTCCTGATGAAGAGACATTCACAGGAACCTTAACAAGGGGCAGGGTTTAGTTGGAAGAGACTTTTGAAGCAGGCTGGGAGGATAAGGAGATGCAGGAGAGCAGGGAGAAAGCAGAGCACACGCTGGGGAAAGAGGGGAAGTCGGAGAGAGAGCAGAGAGCCGGAGTGAGCGGCACCGACTCAGGGCCCTGAAACCCCCCCAGCAGGGAACTGAGCGAAACCGTGCTTTTGAAAGATAATTCAGAAGCACTGCGTGGCATGGATCAGGGCAGAGACCAGTGCAAAGGCTACTGCTCCGCCAGCACTTTCCTGATCAGCACTTTGGCCTCCAAGTTCATAACTGATAGTCGTTATTGCCCCTTGTAAATTAATTCAGACGGCATTCTGGCTACACACTCAGCCTTGGATCAGGTTATTTATAATTTATTATGTCTGGATTGTAAGTTTCCAAGCTAATAAATCCGAAGACCAGACGCTGTGTGGGGCCTCCTTGGTATCAGCGTCTGTCCCACGACAGCCCGGTTCTGTGCAGAGCCCTGTCCAAGCAGAACGACAAGAATCAATTCTTGCCTGATGGCTTTTCCACACTGCCCCGCAGCCAGCCCTACAAGGGCCGAAGCTGTTTAATTCTCGGGTGTTTTAACTGTTCTTACTAAAATCATAGTTGAACAGTTAGATTAGAGGAGGTAGAAACCAGGATGGGTACTCTAGGGGGCACATATTTATAAAAACAAACCCTTTACCCTAGTACCTGTTTTGCTCTGAACTGACCTCTCTTCTAAGAAGCTATTTTAGACTCTTAATAAAGAAGTCAGAGCGAGCAGCAGCATTTGTGTGGGCAAAAGCTGAGACTTGACCAGGCAAGAGCTGAGGTTGCAACAAAGCAGATTGTTTTAAAGGCACTGTGAATCCAGAGAACGTTTACCACCCAGAAGAGGAGCTTATATAAATGTCAAGCCCACAGACGGACACACCTCTTGTTTTCTAAAACGAAAAAGGCAGATGTTACACATACTGTTTCTTTGGGCTCACCTTGGCGAGGGAAGACACGGAGGGTTCTCGCAGGAGCGCTGAGGCTGCATCAGCGGGCAGGACCACAGAGAGCTTTCCGCCTGAAACCAACCGGGGGAGGAGACGCAGGTGAGCAGGCCCGCAGGTGAGCAGCCCTCAGGAGAGCAGGCCCACAGGTGAGCAGCCCGCAGGAGAGCAGGCCCGCAGGTGAGCAGGCCCGCAGGAGAGCAGGCCCACAGGTGAGCAGCCCGCAGGTGAGCAGGCCCGCAGGAGAGCAGGCCCGCAGGTGAGCAGGCCCGCAGGAGAGCAGGCCCGCAGGTGAGCAGCCCTCAGGAGAGCAGGCCCACAGGTGAGCAGCCCGCAGGAGAGCAGGCCCACAGGTGAGCAGGCCCGCAGGTGAGCAGGCCCGCAGGAGAGCAGGCCCGCAGGTGAGCAGGCCCGCAGGAGAGCAGGCCCGCAGGTGAGCAGCCCGCAGGAGAGCAGGCCCGCAGGTGAGCAGCCCGCAGGAGAGCAGGCCCGCAGGTGAGCAGGCCCGCAGGAGAGCAGGCCCACAGGTGAGCAGCCCGCAGGTGAGCAGGCCAGCAGGCCCGCAGGTGAGCGGCCCGCAGGTGAGCAGGCCCGCAGGTGAGCGGCCCGCAGGTGAGCAGGCCAGCAGGCCCGCAGGTGAGCAGCCCGCAGGTGAGCAGCCCGCAGGTGAGCAGCCCGCAGGTGAGCAGGCCCGAGGCTGCCACCACGGAGGCCGCGTGGGCACTCATTTCCTATCGAGCTTGCCATTCCACGTTCGCGGCTTTAAAAAGACTTTCTGAAGGAATCACTCACATGGCTTAACCCTAGCTGAACACTTTTAGAAGATAAGATGGCTTACAAAACGTGTCTTTCGAGAATGTTTCACATAAACCGGGGCACTGAATTGCAGGATCCTTGTAGAAGTCTTTTAAAGGCATAAAGTTAGTTACCCTGCCCTGCTCCCTCAGCTTCTTTTCCAGGGCAGGGTGCGCGCAGGGACCTGCTGTTCCCTGTCCTTATTCACTGGACAAGCATCAGTTCGCCCCGACGGTGCCCTGAGGGGAAAGGAGGAAACAGAAACAAGCACCTTGTAGCCACGTGCTTTGACCTCTGATCCCCTAACAGTGGTGCTCAAATCTGTGTGCACCAGACCCACTTTCCTGCTTGTCAGCCGACGGGGTGGCCAGGAACCCGTGCATTTCAACAAGCTTCCCGGGTGCTGCAGTGCAGGTCCTCAGGCCGCACCTGAGAGCAGCCGCAGGCTGGCCCTGGGCGGTCTGCCCTGCCAGGGGGGCCCTCGGCGGTCTGCCCTGCCAGGGGGGCCCTCGGCGGTCTGCCCTGCCGGCGGGGCCCTCGGCGGTCTGCCCTGCCAGGGGGGCCCTCGGCGTCTGCACTGCTAACTCCGCACACGAGCCTTTAGCTCTCACTGGACTGTAAGCTCCGTGAGGAGCAGAAGGAAACATTTCCTTAGTCCCTCTGAATATCAAGCTTAGGACTGGGTGCTCAGACCTATAGTTTGAAATCACTAAACACAGTTTGAGGCTTCAACTCTAAGACTAATATGCCTTGATTTCTCTCTTTCAACCGAATTCTGGACGGGAGAAAGGTCTTCCGGCCAATGAAACCGCCCCTACCAGCCACTGCCAGCTACAAGTGCTCATTCTGATCAGCATGATGGGACTTTGCAATCCTCTGAGCAGGTCTATCACCCAGACACGTTTAGTCCTCAATCTGATAAGATAATGCTATTTCCAGTTACTTAATGACCGTGCCCAGGCTGCACCTCACCTTTCGCCGGCTTCCACGCCCCTGGGGCGTCAGCACAAGAACTACATTCTCAGCTTGTGCTGGGAGTTTTAAAATGTACAATTTAGTACCGTTTCTAGCCCAATGAAACGGAACAAGGGTACAGTTTATTCCTAAGCACAATTCACACACAAATCATTTCTATTTGACTTTGCAAACCGTCTTTAGAATTTAGACTAAACAAATGTACCCCAAGTTTCAGAAATTCTCATAACAAAGAAAACGATCAAACATCCCTAGTATAGCTTATGCTTCCGCCTGCTCCCAGTGCAATCTAAACCGTGCTTTCTAAAATAATGTAAACTGCAGACTACGCAAAACTAGATTCTTACTCGAAGCCTGCAGTTCACGTTTTCTGTGGGACGGGGGGCGAGTAATTACTCTGGATTTAGATCATTTATCTTGACAAGAGTGCGGTGAAGTTGGGGTGGGGCGGGAGCGGGAGTCTTTGGGGGAAAAAAGGAGGGATATCTGTAATACTTTCAACAATAAAGATAAATTTTAAACAAAGATAATTGTAAATTTTGCTGGATGTGCTTAAAGATAACTATTCACGTCCACAGGACTCAAATCAGTATTAGCTGCGGGCTGAGGATTGTTTTAAGCCTGGGTAGAAAATCACGGCCTAGCACTGTGTAAATCCCTGTCCCTCAGCGGCTTCCTAGTCCTCACTGAAGGATCAGCTCCTTTCTGTTTCCACCGTGAGGGGAAGTTGTTCCTCCAGAAACCATTGCAGTTTCCACACAAAATAGCTCCTTACCCTTTTGGCCCAAACACTTAAATAAAAAGAACCTGGTCAATATTGCACGGCCAACATCAATGCTTCCAGCCCCTACTGCCCGGGTGGGGTGGGTGGGTGGGTGACTGGTGTTACCCCGGATTGTGCCCCAGAGTTGTACAGTGGAGGGTGCCGTGTGCAGGTCTATCCTTCCTGTGAGAGGGATGTTCTTTTTCGTATGCTCCTCAGTGTGGGCACACTGAACACATCCATATGAAGTTTATAAGACATAGAGAAAGATTAGAAAAGAACTTTTCAGAAGTTGTGGTAAAATATAAACAAAAGAAAATGTGCCATTAAAAAATTTTAAGTGGCATAAAGTACATTCACACTGTTGGGCTACCATCACCACCACCCAGCTCCAAAATGTGCCACCATCCCAAACGAAAACTGTGTCCGCTGAACAGTAATCCGCCACTTTGCCCTCCTCCCAGCTTCCGGTAACCACTATTCGTCTTTCTGTCTCTGTGAACTTGACTATTCTAGGTCCCTCAGATAGGAGGAATTGTATCATATTGGTGCTTTGTGGCTGGCTTATTTCACTTAGTATAATGTTTTCATGGTTCATCCATGTTGTAGCTTGTGCCAGAATTTAATTGCTTTTTAAGGCTGAATAATATTCCGTTATTTGTATATTCAACATTTTGTGTATTTATTCATCCATCCGTGGGCATTTGGGTTCTCCCCACCTTTGGGCTGTTGTGAATAATGCTGCTATGAAAATGGGTATATGTAGCCCTGGCCAGTTTGGCTCAGTGGTTTAGAGCGTCGGCCTGCGGTCCGGAGAGACCCGGGTTCGGTTCCCGCTAAGGGCACGTACTTCGGTTGCAGTTTGTCCCCGGCCCTGGTTGGTCGTGCGGGTGGCAGCCACTCGATGTGTCCCTTCACGTCGATGTTTCTCTCTCTCTGTCTCTTCCTCTCTCTCCCTCCCACTCTATCTGTACAAAGAATGGAAAAATGTCCTCGGGTGAGGATAAAAAAAAAAGAAAAGAAAAAAAGAAAAAAAAGAAAATGGGTATATGTATATCTGTTCAAGTCCCTGCTTTCAAATCATATGGCAATTCTATGTTTAATTTCTGAGGAACTGCCACACAGTTTTCCATAGTGGCTCCATCATTTTACATTCCTGCCAACAATGCACAAGGATTGCAATTTCTCTATACCCTCACCAACACTAATGATTTCTTCTTCTTTTTTTAATAGTAGCCATCTAAAGGGTGCAAAGTGGTATCTTGTGATTTTTTTTTATCTTGTGGTTTTGATTTGCATTTCTTCATGACTGTTGATGTAAAGCATCTTTTCATGTATTTATTGGCCGTAGCATAATTTCTTAGGAAAAAAAATCAGTTCAAGTTCTTGTCCATTTTCTAATAGTTGTTTGTTTTGTTGTTGAATTAGAAGTTTAAAATATATATTCTGGATATTAATCTCTTAGCAATATACGATTTGCAAATGTCTTCTCCCATTCTGTGAACTGCTTTTTCCCTGTTGATAGTTTCCTTGGATGCACAAAAGACCTTAATTTTGATGAAGTCTAGTTTATCTGTTTTATTTTTTGTTGCATGTTTAGTGTCATAGCTAAAAACTCAGCACCAAGTCCAATGTAGTGAGGTTTTTGTCCCAATGTTTTCTTCTAAGAGTTTTATAATTTTAGTTCTTATGTTTGGGTCCTTGATCCATTTTGAGTTAGTTTTTGTACATAGGGTAAGGTAAGGGTCCAACTTCATTCTTTTGCGTGTGATGTTCAGTTTTCCCAGCACCATTTGTCGAAAAGACTATCTTTCCCCCCACTGAATGGTCTTGGCACCCTTGTCGAAAATCATTTGACCATATAGCTGAGGGATTTTTTCTGGGCTCTCTACTCTATTCCATTGGTCTGTATGTCCATCTATCCTTATGCCAGTACCACATTATTTTGGTTATGGTAGCTTTGTAGTAAGTTTTGGAATTGGGAGGTGTGAGTCCTCCAACTTTGTTCTTATTTTTCAAGGCTGTTTTGGCTATTTGGGGTCTCTTGAGATTCCATATGTATTTAAGAATGGATTTTCTTCTTTCTTTTTTTTATCCTCACCTGAGGACTTTTTTTTTTTTTTCTTTTATCTTCAGATAGAGCAAAAGGGAGAGAGGGAGGAAGAGAGAGAGAAACATCGATGTGAGAGACACACATCGACCGGCTGCCACCCACAGGACCCCAACTGGGGCTGCGGACAGACTGCAACCGAGGTACATGTCCTTAGTGGGAACTGAACCCAGAGACTCTCTGGTCCGCAGGCCGACGCTCTAACCGCTGAGCCAAACCGGCCAGGGCAAGGATGGGTTTTCTTATCTTTGGGATTTTGATAGGGATTTCTTTGTATCTGCAAATCACTTTGGGTAGTACCAATATTTTAACAATATTATGTCTTCCAATCCGTGAACAAGGAAGATGTTTCCATTTATTTTTGTTTTCTTTACTTTCTTTCAGCAATGTATTATAGTTTTCAGTGTATAAGTCTTTTACCTTTTTGGTCA